AAAACAACAAAAGGTCCCAGGCAAAACATCAGTTTCCCAAGTGTCAGATTGCCTGTAGACTAGTGCTGCTTCTGTCGTGCTCTCTCAGTCCTCTCAAAGTGCTTACCTGCTGAAGCATTTCCTTTGTGAACCTATGGTTCAGGAAATTTGACATATAGTTTCCCTTCTAGCCAGTTAGGAATAATGTCTCATGAGATGTTATAGAGAAGGAGAACAAGGTTTGTAGGTTTGTTTTTTGTTTTGTTTCAAGACAGGGTTTCAGCTGTGTAGCTCTGTCAGTCCTAGAACTCACTCTGTAGACGAGGCTAGTCTCAAACTCAGAGGTCTGTCTGCCTCTCTGCCTCTGGAGTGCTGGAATTAAAGGTGTGTTTTCCCACCACTCTAGTTTGTAGGTCTTTAAGGTGATCTATTACTCATTCAGAGGAATTGAATTATGACATTGATCCTACCCTGACCAGAACCACAAGGGACTATTGTGTAAAAGCCGAATTGTAGGCTAGTATTTTCTGAGGAGAAACTGTGGCTCTCATGGGACAGGGTCACTGTGGTCAGTGACCGACGTACTTGGATACAGATGAAGTCAGTTTGAGAAGCTGCTTGCTGTTAGCATTGGAGACAGAGAAGTTGCTGGGCTGGTGATTTTAGTTTGTTCAAGCAAACTTCTCTTGCTCTCTGTCATAGGTGTGGACCTGTGTATCATGTGCTCTTTTCAGTGTGCCATCAGGGGTTAGTTAATACAGTCTGACTGCAACTGTCTCCTTGGCTTTGTTGGACCAGTTCGTAATCCTCATCACTCTCTTTTAGAATTGTCAGATCTTATCCTTCTCTATAGCTCAGTTTTCCCTTAAAACGAATTTTGTAAAGCCGAGCTATAATTTGTTGCTTTTTGGCTGTAGTTTTAGCACCTAGAAACTGAAGCAGGAGAATTGCCTAGAGCTGTAAATCAGCTTGGGTTACTTAGTAAGTTCTCAGCAGGCCTGGCTTTACCTGCCTCAGGAATAAAAGAAGTCTGCTGGCTGGGAGTGGTCCTCAGAAGCAGAGTGCCAGGAGCCTTTGCGCTTTGCTTAGATGGTCTGTATCTGTACCCCCAATCCTCAATCTCACAAATAAATTAAGGCTGGTTGCATTTAAATTTGTAGTGATTGAAGTCAGGTCTGGCAGAAGTGAAAGTTTGTCAGCTACATGTTTTTGGCAGTGTATTGGCTTGTGGAGATGCTGTACCTCATTCTGTGGATAGAATTACCTCCAGTGGTGTGTTTGCTGAATTTAAATGGCGCTTGAACCTTTTATCTTCTTTTGTAATAAAGTTGTTACCTAGCTCTAAAGGTAGATATCCTTACTTCTGTTGACTTTGAATATAAAGCTGAAAGTGTTAACATTGCTTGTTGCTCAGCACTGAGCTTAAATAGCTACTTATTTTTAATATGGAAGGGTTTTAAGCCAGTGTATGGGAGAACATGAAATGGACAGAGCTAATTAACTACTCTTTCCTAAATCCATAATCAGTGTACTTGTGGCACTGGAAGTGGGATGAGAAGTGTAAGTGTTGTTGTTGTTGTTGTTGGTGGTGGTGTTTTGTTTTCTTCAAGACAGGGTTTCTCCGTATAACCCTGGCTGCCTGGAATTCACAGAGATCTGTTTGTCTCTGCCTTCCAAGTGCTGAGATCAAAGGTGTGGACCACCACCACCCATTGAGAAACTCAAGTGTTGGAAACACACGGCTCTACATAGTTGTGATTGGATCTGTCCCCCCACTGTATAACAGATTCCAGACAGCTCAGAAGGCCTTTGTTTAAATCTTAGGACTTCAAAGGTCTCTCACAAGATGCAGGCACAATTTCTACTAGGGCTGGTTTTATGCTCAACTTTATCTGAGAAGGATCTTCTTTCAAATTCATATGGTTGAAACAGGGTTCAGGCCTTCAGACTCATAGAATGAGGGCTTCAATTCCTAGTGCGTTGTTGGGTAGAGCTCTCTCTCGATACCTTGCCAGGTGGGCCACTTTCTGGTATGGTTCACAGCATAGCAGCTGTCTGAAGTAAGCAAGCTGGGCAGTGGTGTTGGTAAGGGAAATAGAAGTTGTGACTCCACAGCACAACACCATCAAGACCTCTTTACAGAACAGTGGGATTAGGTCATCTGCAGTCAGCCCTGCTGCTTACCTCAGTTGAGTACAGACAGTAGATTTTACAGTAAAGGGAGAAAGGCTAGGTTCTGTGTGAACTCGGAGATATTAAAGGGCTTAACTAAGCTTGCTTTTGACTTCGCCCAGATCCCTTGGTTCAGGGATTGCCTTCCTGTTTGTTGAGCACCCATGCAATTCACTCTTTCTACCTTGCTTGGGCCCAATCTGCATGCTGCACTCTGCTCTTTGACCTTGTTCTGTCTCTTGGGATCTTGCCCAAATAGTGTCTGCTGTTCCCATTGATAACAGTTAGCTGACCTCTGCCTCGTCTGTATAAGGAGCTCTAGCACTGTGGGGTACCTCTGACATCTGTTTACTGTGTTTTCTATTTGTAGTAGCAGGAGAACTGTTGACTCTTAGTGAGCTAGGAACATGTTTTTCATGTGTATTTCTTTGAGGCTTGTTGCATGTCACTAATAGAAAGTAGACTCTTCACCTTAACATTTTATATATTTGTTTCATTATTTATTTGTGTGCATATGTGTGTTTGTGGACTTGTGTGCCATAGTGTGTGTGTGTGTGTGTGTTTTGTGGATGGCACGTGGAGTTGGCTGTCTTCTTCTAATATTCTGTTTCAGGGATTGAACTCAAGCAGTCAGGGTTGGAGGCAAGCACCTTTGCCGTCTGAGACATCTCATCAGCTTTCCCTCCATTTTATCAATGTGCCTCATGACTGCTCTACTGTTTCCCTTTTGATGGGGTTTCTAGCAGCTGGTCTCATCTGCTTGCCTGGACTTGCTGCTTTGCATGTTATGACAGTCTAACAGACTGTAGTAAACAATGTCAGAATCCCACAAGTCCCGTTTAGCCCCTTGAGCTCAAAGCTTGCTACCTTTAGTTACCCATGTGATAAATTATAGCAAGACTGTTTATATGTTGAATCTGATACTTGTCCAGGATATTCTTGAGTTATGTGGAGGAGGACAAAGGTTGAAAAAAAAATGACGGCATAGGACTGGTTTTAATTTTGTTGTTTACACCATTTCACAGAGCATAAAATTAACCAATAAGAGATGTGGACTCTTGTACTGATATTGTTGCCCCTTTTAGTATACAAAGAGCGTCCTAAGTTGGGACTACTGTTTGGTCTCACCCTCTTTAAAATAAGAATGAGGATGTTGTCACTTAAAAGTGGAATGTTGGGAAAGAGAGAGAGAGCACGCTAGTGAATAAGGAGGTTTTATGGACTCTTTAGATAGGCATTTATAAGATGAAAAGGCAAAAAAGTGAAAACAGGAGTTCTTTTAAATTTATTTTATGTGTATTGGTATTTTGTCTGCATATGGGACTGTAGTCACAGACAGCTGTGAGCTGCCATGTGGGAACAGGAGTTCTTTTAAATTGACCCTTGTATATTAATAATTCTCAGTATCTCTTCTGGAATTTGACCATGATTTTGCTTTTGTCTGATGCCACTGAATACAGTTCCTAAGAAGCTGTTTGATTGACATTGTGCTTAGTTCTTGCTCAGGATGCTTCTGATTGGAACAGCCACTGAAAACAGGTTTTGCATCAGAAAAAGGAGGAGGCAACCAAGGCCAGTTTAATAGTAGTTCCTTAGGGCACATCACAGTTATCTAGTCAGGGGTTTCTGGCTCTTTGCTTAGCTTTCTTTGGTCACCTGTTTCTCCTTCTCTTTTACCTCTTCCTCACAACCCACTCTAGTTAACAGACCCTAGAAGCATTGAGGAAGAATTGGTTGATGCTTTAATTTAACTACTTATCTTTGAGGCAGCTTAGCACTTGCATAATTCAATATCAGGCCAAAGTCTTTTTGAAAAAGGTAGCAAACTGCTTGGGTTTGTGTAGGAACCTATGCTGTGGACTTTTTGGGACTTTTTGAGGGTGCACTAACAGTATGCCAAGAAGGCAGTAGTGAGGCTGGAGAGTTGGGATTTGTTTCCTTAGATAGCTTCGTTTTCTTTATTATGCTCAGATGTAGCTAAGTATGTTGGAAAGTTAAACCTGTCCAGGAGGAGAGCAGATCTTTTGGGCTTTTTGGTGTTTTATTTCTGAAAGCTAGCATTCCATTTCTGATATTGCATAAGTCAGTTCTTCAAGCATGCTCGTGTATGCACAGAAGTAGTGATTACAAATTATCTCAAACTTCTGGTGTCCTGTCTGAGGAATAGTTATAAAAAAAAAACAACTAGAGAAAACAAGAGGGAGACAGTAAGTAAAGTTGGTGAACAGACCAAGTATTATGATAGTCTTCAGGAATTTTCCTCTGTAACTACGACTACTGTTTCTTGGATTGGAGTTACTTCAATGATACTATCAAGTATTATTGAACCTAACAGAGAAACTTGATTTCCTTCTGAAAGTAGATGAATGTCTTTTTTTCCTCTTCTTAAAATCTTAGAATAGATGGATGTGGTATGGAAGTGTTAGTTAATAGAAGTGGTGTCTAATATTCTGTAGCTGGGGTTCCTAGCTGGGTTTGTGCTCCTGCTTGAGTAACTTTGTGTGTTCAGTCTGTGCATGGACAGAGAGTATTAACAGGAGTAGGTACTCTTGCAGTTAGAGTCCTCTTAGCAAGCAGTTAGCTAATAGGACAATGTTTGTACTCTTACCTCCTCAAAAATCTTCACAATGTTAGATATTGATGGTCAGTGTCCCCTTGCTTTAGGCCTTTCTGTGTCTTTTACCAAAGAAGAATAGTGCTCTGATCGCAGCTGTGTAGCCAAAACACTTTGGTTAAGACCCTCAGGACCCTTGAGCATCATCAGTACCCTTGTCTAAAGAAAGTGTTGACTGCTGTACTCTTCATCCTTTATGAACCCTTTAAAAGCATCTATTATTTTTAATTTGCAGCAGCTCTTGCCAGGTAAAAAGTTTTGGGAAACAGATGAATCCAGCAAAGATGGACCAAAAGGAATATTCCTGGGTGATCAATGGCGAGACAGTGCCTGGGGAACATCAGGTAATCTAGCTCTAGCCTCTCTTCTGTGATTTATGCCTGTCTTAGAGCTCCCTTCCTCAGCACTTGGCCAAGTCATGAGTTTCAGATCAGTGGCAGAAGCACGATGAGCAAATGTCCTGTCCTGTAGTAGTATTATTGCCACTAAGGAGCTTAGATGATGTAATATATTAGAAATAATTACATAAAATAAAACCTTCAGTATTTTCTCAAGTGCTAGTTAAAGAAGAATGGCCTCATTTGAAGTGACTATGATTTTACCTGAGTTTTCCCTCTGTGCTGCTGTCAGTTTGCCTGGAATTGGAAAATACAAGCCCATACTTTGAACTTTATGATTTTTTTTCCCCTTGATGTTTTGTACCAAATTCGAGGTAGCTATCTTTAAATGTTCCTGGGGCCAGATGAACTCACCCAGCACAGGCATTCTTGTGGTAGACTTCCCCTGAAGAGGGCTAGGGATAGCTGGTAGAGGCAGAGACACCAACAGCAGGAAGAAGCCACAGCTTCTAGGGAGGGGGAAGATAGAAAACCTAACACTGGAGAAACTGTATTCAGGACAGTGCAAACTGGAGTCCTCAGAAAGATTTGTTGTTGCAAAACAAAACAAAAAAGAATTTCTGCAACTTCAAAGAGGTGACCATTGGCTTATCTACTTAGCTGTGTGAACTGCTCTACTCCTCTGCTCTCCTAGATAGAGGAGGGGTGTGTCCCGTGTCCTCAGCCTTATGCAGAATACCAGTGCATATTGAAAGATCCAAGAGGAGACCTTGGCTCAGCCGACCGTGGTGGATCTCCTGATTCCCAGACACTGGTTTATCATGAGACATCACTCATCATTTGTTTGGGCTTCTGGCTGCACTGTGTCATACTTGTGTATCTTTTTTGTAGATCATTCAGTTTCCCAGCCAATCATGGTGCAGAGAAGACCTGGTCAGAGTTTCCATGTGAACAGTGAGGTCAATTCTGTACTGTCCCCACGATCGGAGACTGGGGGACTAGGCGTTAGCATGGTGGAATATGTGTTGAGCTCATCCCCGGGCGATTCCTGTCTAAGAAAAGGAGGATTTGTAAGTTGGCTTGAGGAACTCGTTCCTATCTCTTTCTTCCCCCTTCCCCCAAAGCAAATGTGCCTGTTGAGTTTCCTAGGTTTCTGCAGCAGCAGCGTGCTAGGGTGTGCTAGAACACTTGCATTGTAGCATAGAGCTCAACAAGCAAAGCATAGCATAGCATAGCATAGCATAGCATAGCATAGCATAGCATAGCATAGCATAGCATAGCATAGCATAGCATAGCATAGCATAGCATAGCATAGCAGGAGAGGTAAACTGTACTTCAGAGATGAACAGGGAAAGCCTTGGGTTTTGTGGGTGGTGGGAGTGCATGTTAAGGTGAGGAAAGTGCTAAAATCAAAGTCTGAGTTAACTAGTTAACAAGAGAGCATTCTCCATTAAAATCAAAAGTGTAAGAGAGAAGGACTTTCTTTACAAAGAAAGTAGAAGTTGAATGTCAGTGTGAGGTACTTGTCATGGAGGAATGATTGTCCACTACCCAAGAACCTTACAAGGGACAAAGCCCTTGGCTCTCTCTTCTCTGTCTTGGCCTCACAGGCTAGATGCTTGTTTTCTGGCAGCCGTGACTGAGCAGCTTGGTTTCCTATGCTGTTGGGGAGCTTGCTGTTTTTTTTTTTTTTTGTTTTGTTTTGTTTTTAATTTTGTTTTGTCTTTGTTTTCTGGTTTGGTTTTAGTTCATTGCCACTAACCCTACGTGTATATCTTGGCTGAATGGCAGCCAAAGCAGCCTCCTTGCTTCCTGCTACTTCCTGCTGAATCTTTCTTTCTTAGCATTCTTTCTGAAGCTTTGTGACTCCCTTTCTTGAAGCACATTCTCTTTATTATTAGCTTTATAGATAAAAGGATCTTAGGGAATGTATCTCCTTGAGTCTTCCTCCTTTTGTACTCTCTGGCTGACGTTGTATGTCACAGCTATCTGCTTGCCATTCACGCCTAACTCGGTTTGTTCTATGCCCTTTTAGTCCTTTTCCCAGATGTCATTGTGGCCTAATAGAACGAGGTGGCAAATGTTTGAGACACCTTCTTCCCCTCATCATCATACTTTTGGTTTCAGCCACACATGCGCTTCTTTATATGTTGCGTTTATTACCTAGGTGCCTCCTATCACTGGAAACTGTTTGGTGACAGTGGTTGGTGTTTGGTAGCTCTCTCTCTCTCTCTCTCTCTCTCTCTCTCTCTCTCTCTCTCTCTCTGTATATTAATATTAAGCTTGTTCTTTTCGGGAGGAATCTTCTGAATCTTTTGACTTAGTCTAGACATATGACGTGTAAATAGGGAACTGCTTTTATGTTCCTTCTCATGGGGGCTTTTTGGGGAAGAACAAGATTTATACTTTGGATATGCGGAATGGGATCAAGCCAAATGATTGATCGTTTACCTATCTTCTCAAGAGAACAATAGAATTCTGTTTTCTTCCTCCTTCACACTTTCATTTGATTTCTTCAGAGAAAGTACTGCCTTCTAAATACTGCTTACAATGAGTTGCTGGTATGGTGACCAGGAACCTTGATAACAATGACTGTGAATTCTCTGACCAGTGTCAGGTTTGTTGACATTCGGCACAGGCACACATCTGGATTACTGTGAAGGTTGTAGGAGGCAGAAAAGTTATTTGAATTAAAAGTAGGTAAGACAGAAAAATGGAATTATTACTGTCATTTTTCGGACAGTTTTTATGATAAAGTCCTGTCTTTGGGTTGTAAAGGAGGGTCCCATACTTAGTTTTGGGAAACGTGATTTTTTTCATTGTATTGAGTCTCAGGCCAGATGCTTCTTCAGGAAGCAGGACTCCTAGCAGTCAGATGGATAGTTTTCCACATCTTCTTTCTTAAGAGGATGGCCATGGAGAATAAAATGTTATTCAATGTTTTGATGTCTGTGCCATCTGTAGGTTGATAGAGGAATACCAATGGATTTCAACCAGGGTGTTGGCAGCTGCCATTTTCCGGCTAATGAAGGCCTCCTGGCCAGAAAACTGCTGCTCAGCACTGATGTTATGTTCTGCTGATGTTAACCTGGGCTTGCTCTGCTACATAGGATGTCACCTAAAGAAAACTGTGTTTATGGGAAATCTGGATCACTCTAGTTCTCATGAAATGCATGCAATATCGGGAAAGAGGGACTGTCACATTCTTTCTTTTAAAAACAAAAGTAATTCAGTGTTAAGTTTGGAGAGCAAGGACAGTGAGCCATCTGTGTCTAGGGGAGTTCTCTACAGAGCACGGAGCTCTGGTTAGGGCAACTGGGGCTATTTAGTCTAGTAAGCTGAGTGGCCGGTGTCATTTGTGGCACAGTGATGATACAGAACTCACAGCGCGTACGCAGAAGTCCTTCTTGGATGTGACAGCTGGCAGTCCATATGTTAACTCTTCAAGTGAAGGTGTCCCATGAGGAGGCAGTTTTATGTTCTCATTGAGATTTCCTTGTCACAGCTTGAATAAAAGGATTTAGCCCTTCACCTTCCCTTTCCTGTGCTTCCCTGAGTTCCTTTTGGTGCTATAAATGCTTAAGGAGTTTTGGTTTGAAATAAAGATTCCTTTTTGGGGGTGGGGCCTGGTGTTTTATGCACAAGAGAGGTCAAATGATCTCTGTGAGTTTGAGGCCAGCCTGGCTACATAGTGAGTTCCAGGCCAGTCAGAGCTTTTTAGAGCTGCCTCAAACTAATTAGCTAACTTACTTTGAGGTTCAGCAGAAGACTCTGTTCTCACACTTACTGTGAATGCTAGCTAGCACCCAGCATGTGTATCTCCAGGTTTTAAAATACCAGCTTTTGGAATAATTTGAGAAGACTTGAATCCAAGAGTCAAGTCTTTCCCCGCCTTTTAGCTTTTGTTTTATTTGTTCCTGGAATAAGATATTTCTCTCTCCATCTCCTGGATTCAGAGGTAGTTACACATATTTTGAAAGCTCATGGGTGACATTGCCTATCTGAGGGCACTGCTCTTGGTCCCGATTTTCTTCAAATAGGTTGAATCCTAGTTATTAAGAACAGTGGATCATGAATGCTACCTTCTGGTTTATCCACTGCAAACATTGGACTAGTGACAACTTCTCTAACTTTGGTAGGTCTCCTCATGTTGTGTCAAGTTCCTGCTTTCTGACCTGGAGGATGCTTGTAGCTATTCATTTGGGTCACAACTATTTGGCTTGGAAAGCTATAATTGATTTTTGTGAAACTTGAGATATTGCATTACATATAGAGAAGCTAGGGTTTTGAGTCTCAACTGGATTTTTAAATTGTATAATAGGAATAATTACCATTCAAGGAAGTATCATAATATTATACTCAGTTGTGCACTGATAACAGTAGCATCATTCTGGGGCTTAGGATTCCTAGGCCATACCCTGGCCTTTCTGAACTGAAATGTGCTTTTGTTGTTTTGGGGACAGGCTGTCTCTGTGTAGCCCTGGCTGCCCTCAAACTCCCAGTCTTGTTGTCTCAGCATCCTGAGTGCTAGGCAGGCAAAAGCTTACCTACTGTACCTGCATTTGTAATGAGCCCTTCCCTGCCCCTATGATTCCCATGTGAACTCTGTGCTGCACTGCTCGAGTTTCCTTGGAAGGGTAAATCACCAGAGTGCATCCATCACCTTTAGATTGTGGCTAGCCCCATAACTGAAACCACATGCTGGAGTCTGCACTATCAAGCTTATTAAACAAAACCAAACTATTTTTGAAGGTTTTCCAATAAAATCAAACATCACTTCTTGCCTGTAAGTTAGGTCTCTTTTTTCCTCTTAAGTATCACAGCCGGTGCCCACTGCTTGCACCTTTCTCTGCACAGCAGGATTGGGTGATTTGTGACCATGCCTGTGTAGGTTATGCCCCACAGTATGCTTCTCTAAGCTCTTGCTCCTGCTGAAATGAGTGCCAGTTCAGCTGGGCCCTTGTCACACTTGTACTACTGTTGTGTCCTTTTTAAAGGTGCATAACATGAGCTGGTACCCCGGAGTCAGTGAAGTGGATAGTGGCTGCATCTTTTCATACTGATCTTATAAAAACAAGTTTTTTTAAAATTTCTTTTGAAAAATTGTAATTTTGAGGTTTGCCTCATTTAATCCTTGTAACAATCCATAATTATGGCAGATGAATTTATAGATGAGGAAAAAGGCTCAGAGGCAAAGTGGGGATTTGACATTCCAGCTCTGGTTCCATTTCTGTTTTTCCCAGGATGGCTTTTGCTTTGCGCTGTTGGCTTTTGAGGTGAGTTCTCATCAAGTTGTTTGACAAGGCTAGCAGCTGCAGATATTTTCTCGTTTTCTGTTGCTATCAGAGATGTGAACTGTTATGCTTTGAAAAAATTTTAGGGATGTGTTGTTGTGAAACAAGTATACACAAGACAGCGTAGTCAGCATCCTCTCGTTTGTTCTTGTGCAGCTAAATTCATACAGAACTGCCTGTTTGATGCAGGTGGAGGAGAGCTCTTGTCTCACTGAGCATATCTTTTGCCATGTAAAGTGTTTTTGGGAACAAGAGAAATGTTTGGAGTTACCCTGCTTTATGGTTGTCCCAAGGAGGCTGAGCCGTCAGGGAACAGGCCAACCCTGCTCTGTGGTTCTTACCGTGTCTGTTTGGCTCCTGGCTCTTTGGCTGCTACCAGCAGTGATGTTTTGTTGCTGCTGTGAGAAATGTGACAGGGCCTGGATCCTCTAGTGTTTTCCAGGCTTATGGAGGTTTGTTTGTTTGTTTGCATTATCATTTAAGGTTAAACTTCTGGAGTTTGAGATTGTGCTCATCAGCCAAATGACTGCTTTAGAAGGACCATAGCAGTTATGTTTGGTAGCGTTTCAAATCCTGCTGTGCTCATCTATTCTGCTGTATTTTGATGTGTATACAATAAGATTAATTTTTTAAAATATTGTTTATTTTTATATGAGTACACTGTAATAGCTGTCTTCAGACACACCAGGAGAGTGTGCATCAGATCCCATTACAGATGTTTGTGAGCCACCATGTGGTTGCTGGGAATTGAACTCAGGACCTCTGGAAGAGCAGCTACTGCTCTTTTTTTGTTTTTTTTTCGAGACAGGGTTTCCTTATAGCCCGGACTGTCCTGGAACTCACTCTGGAGGAGCTACTGCTCTTAACCACTGAGCCATCTCTCCAGCCTCTATAATAAGATTCTTAAGTTTCAGCCGGGTGCACGAGGCAGAGGCAGGCGGATTTCTGAGTTCGAGAGTTCGAGGCTAGCCTGGTCTACAGAGTGAGTTCCAGGACAGCCAGGACTACAAAGAGAAACCCTGTCTTGAAAAACAAAACAAAACAAAAAAAAGATTCTTAAGTTTCACAATGCAGCATTTCATTGCTGTTCATAACTATTTATTAAACAAAATTATCCCTGCTTTATAAATAGAAAACTAAGACTCAGAGAATAAATGCCCAAATCCTATGACCAGTGTTACACATAGAACACAGAATAGATTTTCTGAAAGACCTCATAACTATAAACACTTTACCTTATGTGTTATTAAAAACTACAAAGATGCCAAAAATTAATACTTTTTATACCCCTTTTCTATTTTCCCCCTAAAATTTATGCATATGGGAGATTTACCTGCATGTTGTTTATTTGTACAACACATGCATGCCATGTTCCTGGAGTCCATAAGAGGATGTGGGTTCCCCAGGAACTGTTTGATCTACCAGATAGGAGCTGGGATTGAACCCTTGTCCTCTGTAAGAGCAGCCAGTGCTCTTTACTGCTGAGCCATTTCTCCAGTCTACCTTTCTATTTTAGGCTCTTCACAAGATGTTTTCTTCCTTCCCCTCTTTTTTTTTTTTTTATTAAGGCAAGGTCTAATATAGGCCTGGAACTCCCTATGTAGCGAAGTACCTTGAATTCTAGGTAACTCTGTTTTATTACCTGAGAACTGGGGTTACAAGTTTAACTCCCCTGCCCAGTTATAAAGAAAGATTTCACTTTGTGTAGCTCTGACTGACTGTCTTGGAATTCACTCTGTAGACCAGGCTGTTTGTAGAGATCCTCCTGTCTCTGCCTCCTGGACACTGGGATTAAAGGAATGTACCACCACCACCACCTGGCTCAGAGAGACCTTTTTGCTGTTCTTTGAGACAAAGCCCTTGATCGTAGCCTTGGCTGGCTGGTACCTTACTGCTTCTCTTCTTGGGTGCTGGTACTACAGTAAAAACCTTTTTTATGATCTTGAATCCAAGGCTGTCCTTCCATAGCAGCTGATTTCTTAGTCTGATCTTGGTATAATGCACAGGGCAGACTGGATTGCCAGCAATTTTTGTTGCATATCTTTTGCTTGTATGTTTTTGAAACATGTTTTCTCTTTGTAGTCCTGGCTGCCTGGGACTTGCTGTGAAGACCAGGCTGCCCTCCATCTCATAGCTCTGTATGCCTCTGCTTCTGCCTTTCAATGCTGGGATTAAAGGTGCATACCACTATAACCTGGCATGTGAAATTGTTTTAAATGAGCTTTTTTCTTTTTAAAAAAGATGTCTATGTGCATATATATCTATTGGTGTATACACACCCAAGTGCTGAGGTTATAAATGTTTTCCACAGACTTCTTCAAGATGATATGCACCTATAAAATCAACAGGCAGAAAGAGTTGCCAGTCCTCTACCAAAAGTTTGATATTTTGACAGGGGGAAAAAGTCAGGTAACAAGTTGTAGGACTGTAACGTACAGGGCTAGTGAAAACCTCCCATCTCAGGGAGTGTTTTGAAAACCTAGCCATTGACTGTGAAATTGATAGTGGCTGTGTTCTTTGTGTAGACCAGTGAGCATATGGATAGGCTGAACAGGTTCATGGGAAGCCTTGTGAAGGTCAACAAGGAGAATGCTGAACGGGAGCCCTTGAGTGAATATGCTCTTCAGTGCCATGCGTGCTTTGGGACCGTTGTTCTGCTGCCTTTTTCTGTCTCCTGTGCAGTTTTATGGAGAAGTCTTTTGAACTCTTTGGGAGATAATGGAGTTGGACAGTTTTTCTTCAGACATGGACTTGATGTGTAGCCTTGTGGAGATTGTTCTTGTGATCTTCTTGACCGTTGATTGACATTAATGGTTTCCTTTTGCTATTGCAGTCATGTTAACACTCACCACCTAGACTTAGGCTGAGATGGTAAAGACAAGATGAAGTTTCTTATTTTGGCAGTTTAGTTTCCCAGGAAGTTTTGACCCTCACCTTGGTCATATTTATTGAGCTTCTGCTAGACAGTGTATTCATCTTTATAGTTGCAGCTATAAAAATAAAAACTCTATTTCTATCCTTTTCTCTGCATTGTGGAGGTTGCTGCTCTTTCTGGTTTTGTATAAGCTCTTGGCCTTCAGAGCCTTGTCTTCCCATGTTTGTGCTGGGTGTCAGAGCTCTCCTTCAGTGCTTCTCTGTTCCTAAGCTGCAGGTTGTAGAAAAGCAGTCTCCAAGGCACATCCTGTGGCAGGCAGCGTGCCTGTGGCAGGCAACCACTATTGGGCATCATTGTCTTGATGCCACTCGAGGCCAAGCGGTGTATACAGTTCACACGCAGTCCTATTTTCCTATTATCCACAAAGGCTTGCTTTTTCTGTGTGTACTTAAACAGAGAATGGCTTCAAAAGGAAAACTGGCTCTTGAAATAGTCTCCTGCAGGTCTAAGACTGTCAGGGCTACTGCATTGCAGTTTCTGATTAAGTGATTTCTTAATCACTTTGGAGAGCTTATATTGTTTTCTCGGTACAGCCTGACCATTTCTCAGTGGGTCTGCTCACAAAACTAACTGCCTGCGACTCTGTGCTCCACTAAGTCTTACTTGAGTTTAGTTGGTGATTGGAAATTTGTCGTAGTAGAAGTGCTTGTCTTCTGTCCACTGGGCTTGCCTTATATCAGGAACTTTAGTTTGAGCCATGTGCACTTGTTTCCACCATTTAAGCCTGAGTCAGTGGTGGGAACAAGATTGCTTCTCTCAGTTTATAACAGCTAAAGTTACTTAGTGCCCTGCAGTGCCAGGGTCTGCAAAGCTCTCTGCCATATTGAGTCCACAGATAGTTGCTTTCCTTTTGGAAATCAAGGCATTAAAAATGAATATATCCATGGCTTATGCTGGGTGCTACTAAGAGGAGACACATTTACATTCTTTAAAAGGCAGGACCTGGATATATCTGGGAACAGATCCATAAGTAGTGCCTGTGTTTGAAAGTTTGAAACATTTCAGAAATAAATTCTCTTGTATAAAATGCCCCCAATTATATCATTAAAACTAATTTGTAGCAAAATATACAGGTAATGGAAGATAAGAGTTTTTAGAGTACGCTTCCTAAAAGGAAGATTTAATTTGTTTTGAAGCATCTTTTTTAAAAATGTCTGTCGGCTGGGTGTGTGGTACACACTTGTAATCTCGGCATTTAAGAGGCTGAGGCAAGAGGGTTGCCACAAATACAGGCCAACCCGAACTCTATATGTAGTGTGTTCCAGGCTAGCAAGGGACAGTGAGAACCTGACTCAAAAAGCCAAAACAAAACAACCAGACAAAAAATGAAAACAAAAATGTCAAGGAGTTGGTGCAACAGGGTGAAACTGGGCGGTAGTACAATTTGCTGTCGTACAGTTTGGCAAGGCATATATCCCCAGGTCATGTAGAGAGGAGTTAGATTCGAATGGTTTTAGTCCACATTAAGTTCCATATTTAGAAGTAAAGGAGGGGCTTATATAGGATAGTGGGACGTTACGGATTTATTTCTTCTCTCTCTCTCTCTCTCTCTCTCTCTCTCTCTCTCTCTCTCTCTCTCAAAAGCAGACTTATTGCTTTCCCTCTTAGGAATATGCTCAACAGATTTGAGAGTAGAGAAGTAGGCTGAAGAAGTACACAGTTCCAATTGTCGAGAAAGGGGGTGGGGCAGAACGGGAGCACATGGTATGATAAGATGTCTTCAGGTCTGTAACATACCTGTCTGTTTGTCTTCCCCCATTTGGCAAAAATTTCTGCAGTGTTCCTGCCTCTGTGTTGTTTGTAAACGAGACTGTAATGTCAGGCTGGGCACTGTCCTGTCCAGTTAGCGTTAGTGTAGTCTGGTGTCCACAGCGGGTGTCCATAATTAGTTGATGATGATTAGTGAAGCTGAAGCTATTTTTTAAACAGGGCCCAAGGGATGCAGACAGTGATGAAAACGACAAAGGTGAAAAGAAGAACAAGGGTACGTTTGATGGAGATAAGCTAGGAGATTTGAAGGAGGAGGGTGATGTGATGGACAAGACCAATGGTTTGCCAGTGCAGAATGGGATTGATGCAGACGCCAAAGATTTTAGGTTTGTATATTTTACACTTCTGAATTTTTGGATGTGGGCTGTGGGTTTTTGTTTTTATTTTAGTCCCTCCCATCCTGTTTGAGTTTTAAAAATCTAGTATAGATGATGTCATAGAGATGTAAACTAACTGGTAAGGGGAATTTTCCAAGAGCTGTCCATGTTTTATACTTTGTCCAAATAGTAGAATTTGCATTTGTATGGAACTGGGCTTGCAGAGTGGTTCCACGGAGGACATTTTAGTAGTTCTAGAACTTTGGTGTAGGCACTTTGGGACTCCCTAAGTTGGTCCCACACCACTATACATCAGAGCCATGGACATTGAGGGATGTGTCTCTCACATTGGAGGGAGAAATAGCTGAGATGTTACACCTTCTCCCATCTCATACATACTCAGCAGCCCCAGTCTATGTAGGTTGACCAGTCACCAGTTACTTCAGCTGGAAGAAGCAGTTCAGGTGCAGAATAAGAGGGGCTCACTATGTAACCCAGGCTGGCTTTGAACTTGGCAATCCTCCTGCCTTTACCTCTGAGTGCTGGAATTTCAATTGTATACTGCCACACCCAGCAAATGGCTTGTTCATAATCATGTACTTCCATGGATGCCTCTTATCTCATCTCTGGTCAGATTTCCCTGCAGTAGAACATCCATAGTATTAAATATTTATCTTCTACAGTTGATAATCATTCTTCTTTATGTAGACAAGCTTTAGTTATGGTGTGTAATTTCAAAAGGCCTTAAAAAAATCTTAGTTCAGTGTTATACACACACATACAAATAATTTAATGCTATTCTAAAGCTAATGGGTGTTTATTTGCAGACAGATAGAAACATGCATTTTTATACCCTTCTAATACCCACTAGTATAAAAAAAGTTTTGTATCGTTTGCAGAATTGTAAGTCTAATTTTATATATATATATATATATATATATATATATATATATATATATATATATATATAATTAGAGACTTTGAAATTTGAGGCAACGGGCAATAAATACTTATTAGCTGTGTTATTTGGATGTGTTCAGAGAGCCTCACCTCTGTGAGTCACAAGCATCTTGACCAGTGAGTGACTTCTGAGGTATCTGGCTGGGGCAGGAGAGGTGGAGGAGGTGGTGGTGTATGTGATGGAACATGACAGTTCCTTTAACTTTTACCAGCTGTATTTTTTTAAAGAGATGGAGGGTTTGAATGTAGGCATAGGTTACTCTCCCTTGCCTGTACTGGGTTCAGAATTTTACAGTAATTATAATGGGTTATGGAAGTATACATAGGGTTGTGGTATATCTCAAGTCCCAGAACAGTGTACTCAAACCCTTTGACCCAGGTTTCACTTCACTTTGTGGCGTGTGATGGATGGAGTATAAAGACACTAGTTTAGCTTTAGCATTGTCTTGGAGTAGGAGCTTGTGGTCAGTAATGATGTTTTATACATTTTTGATGTTTTTGAACTGATTTCCTTCTTCCATTTCCTTGGCAGGTGGGGTAGTGTTCACCACTGGTAAAAATATAAATAATACATGAAAACCTTTTTATTAGAATCATTACAGGAATTGGAATTATCCCTAGGAACCAACTTTAGGTGTTTTGCTCTAGTTTGAAACAAAGTCTCGTGCGGACTCCAGCCTGACTTTGAAACTTGCTCTGAGTGCTGGGATTATAGGTGTCTGCCATTATGCCTGGCCAAGAAAACCAGCCATTCCAGTTTGCTCTGTGTTTAAAGAGGACCTCTGCTCTGGTGGAGCGGATTTACTCCTGTTGGTGGGGAATGTTTGTTCTTGTTTTCATGACTGCTGCAGGCAATATTGTCTTTAGTTTACTCTGTGTTTCTTCAGTCTAGATTCCATAGTGAAGTAAAATTGTATGTTAATAGCAGGTGATGATACACAGGCAAACAATGGAAGAAGCATTCTAGAGGCTACCACCCTGTAAGCCTTGTCAAAGGTCTCTGGTTATTTTGTAGAACTAGCTTTCAGGATTGCTAATGAACTATGTCAAGGACATAAACTGGGGGTTGCTGTAGTATCCCTTCTCGATCAAAATAAGGTTTAATGCCCTTTACTTTCTCTGTTTAGCCGTACCCCTGGTAATTGCCAGAGCTCTGCTAATGAAGTGGATCTTCTGGGTCCAAACCAGAATGGTTCTGAGGGCTTAGCCCAGCTGACCAGCACCAATGGTGCCAAGCCTGTGGAGGATTTCTCCAACATGGAGTCCCAGAGTGTCCCCTTGGACCCCATGGAACATGTGGGCATGGAGCCTCTGCAGTTTGATTATTCAGGCACGCAGGTACCTGTGGACTCAGCAGCAGCAACTGTGGGACTTTTTGACTACAATTCTCAACAACAGGTACAGTGTGTGTCTTTGTCACCCTTCCCTTTCTTTCCAGCCAACACGTTATGGGGGGGGCGGTGGTCTTACCAGCTTAGAAAGTTCTTAGCCACTTGCTTTTGGTCCAGCAATGGAATACGTTTTAAAAGCTCACCTTCTCACTAAGCTCACTCTTCGGTTGCAGTTGCTGGAAAGAGAGCACCCTGTTCTCTGTGCACCATGGGGAATGGAAGAGCATCCTCTCAGATGCTAAGTTACATTTGGAAGATTTCTATTATATGCTGTTGCTGGTTTGTTTTGTTGTAAAAAAAAATAATGAGGGGCTAGAGACATGGCTCAGTGCTTGCTTTGAAAACAAGAATATCCAACTCCAAGTCTCTAGCATTCTTGTAAAAGCTAGAGCAGCTGTGCATGCCTGTAACCCCAGGACTGGAGGTTAGAGTAGGCATGTTTTGGAGCTTGTTAGCCAGCCTGATAGTCTAGCAGAAACAGGGGTCTTCAGATTCCGTCATAGACTGTGTATCAAAAAGTAAGATAGAGAACCATAAAGAAGACATTTATTTACATGTGTACACAGTACCCATGTATCCATTCCCCAAGTGTGTATACCTTCTATACCTCCCAATAAATAAATGAGGTAGTGATTTCTTTTGCCAATAACCTCAGTATAATACCAACCCAACAGTCATGTCTTTTGTTTAAATTAGTTACTCTAGATATAGTCTAGAACACTTAACAGACATTCTAATTATTGTAAAATAATGATAAACTGAGCACATAAAACACCAGAAGGTCTGTAATGATTTGTTTGGTGCGGGGGGGGGGGTGTGTGTGGTGTGGTCATGAGAGCCAACGAGTGTGCATTTCACCTGTGCATACATCTGCAGAGGTCAGAGGACGATGTTGAATGTTTCCCTCTTTGCCTAATTCCCTTGAAACAGGGTTTCTCGCCAAGTCTGGAATAAAGCACTTCCTCTAGGCTGGCCATTTTCCTAGGCTAGCCAGCCAATAAGCTCCAGTTGTTCTTCACCACCCCACCCCACATCCCAGTGCTACACATTGTTTTCTGTGCTCTTACACACTGAGCCATGCCTCCACACTTAACTCTCTATTTTAAAAGTTTCTAGTGTTTACTGTTTTTGTCTTTTTGAGACAATTTTTTTTATGAACCCAAGGCTGGCCTGGAATCTGCTGTGTAGCCCAGGATGGCCTTCTTGTCTCTACCTTGTGCTTTGCAAACCTGCATGTCTGTGTACCAGGTGCATGCAGTGCTCAAGGAAGAAGAAAAGATTTGAATTCTCTTGAGCCTAGAGATGTTTATGAGCTGCAGTGAGATTCTGGGAAAGGAACCTGAAAGCAGTCAGCGCTCTTAACCACGTAGTCACTTCTCCAGGTCATTGCTGTTAGCCTCTTTGGTAGTACTGAGATCACAGGTGTGAGCCACCATGCCCTAAAGCAATGGCAGTCAGTTCTGAAGGCACAGTAAGCCTAATTCATTAGAAAGGAAATGAGAACCAGAGGGACTGCTTTGTAGCTTCACAAACCACAGAAGGTCTGATAGATTATCTTAAAACGTGCTCTGAGTACATTTTTGTTGCTTTCTGCAGTACTGGGAGTACAGCCTGTGCTTGCCATACAGGTGTGTACAGACGAGCCATACCCCCAGCCTATGTGTGATTTAATTACCAAGCTTTTTTCCCCATAGAATGAAAAGTATAATTGAACATTATTCGTTCTGTAGTTTCCACTAGCCGTTTACTCTACAAAAATTGCCTCTCTTGTTTTTATCTTTTCTGGTCTTTACTGGCTCAATGTTTTTGTTTTCTATTTTAATTGAACCTCTTTTATTTGAGTTTATCTGAGGCTGGAGAGATGGCTCAGCAGTTAAGAACACTGACTGCTCTTCCAGAGGTCCTGAGTTCAGTTCCCAGAAAGCACATGGTGGCTCAAAACCATCCGTAATGGGATCTGATGCCCTCTTCTGGTGTGTCCGAAGATGGCTACAATGTACTCATATACATATAAATAAATCTTTAAAAAAAAGTTTATCTCCTATGGAATTTTTTTTTAAATTTTGATTCTCTTTTATCTAACCATCCTTTACTTCATAGTGAAGGAATTGTGGTCTTTTGGTTTATTAGTCCGGGGTTTCCTATTACCAGGAGTTTTGGAGTTAGCTAATAGGGCTTAAACATAAATGAACTCTGTCTATATCAGAGATACTAGTTGTACAGATGTACAGTTTCATAGATGGCTTTTAGAGTGGCTAGTTTAAAAGATCTGCATTTTGGAACCTGTTAAGTTATAGCTTTTTATAGATGTCTTAGTTTTTGGTGTTTAGGGATGTTGCTACATGCATTGACTATGAATTGGGGCATTAATTGTTGTATCCCATGTTTTAGTTAGGGTTATTATTGCTATGATGAAACACTATGATCACGAGCACTTTGGGGAGAAAGGTTATTTGGCTTACACTTCTACATTGCCGTCCATCATTGAGGAAGCCAGGGTAGGAACTTAAGCAGGGCAGGGACCTGGAGGCAGGCGCTGATGCAGGCAGGCTGTAGAGGAGTGCTGCTTACTAGCCTGCTCCTTATGGCTTCCTAAGCCTGCCTTCTTATAGAGAACCCAGGTCGACCAGCCCAGAGATGGCTCCACCCACAACGAACTGGTCTCTCTTCTGACCATCATAACTTAAGGCTTTACAGGCTTTCCTGCAACCTGACCTTATGGGAACATTTTCTAAATTATGGTTCCCTCCTCTCAGATGACTATAGCTTGTGTCAAAGCTGACACAAATCTAGCCAGCACGTTTTATATACCCTAACTATTGTTTTTTCCTCTATTCATGCCAGTGACATGTTCACCTCCTGAGTTGTGTAGCCAGTCGTAAAGCAACTCTTTCTGAGTAGATACATAGTTTTTAAAACTCTTGTCTTGGGTATCCAGATAACATCTGGCAGTCATTATCCTAAGATGTCCAAGTGTTTTTCCAAACCCAGTTACCCAGAGATGCCTCTAGAGAAGCTGGGAAAGTTAAGGAGGAAGGATCATTTGTCAGTTGGTATGCATTCCTACTTTTGCATTTTATATTAGTTTCTTTCTGTTGCTATGATAAAACATCATGATCAAAGCAACTTAGAGACGACAAGGTTTATTTGGACTTCCAGTATTAGACAGTATGTAATTGCAGGGAGACATGGCAGCAAATGGCGGGCATGACCATAGGAGCAGGAAGCAGAAAGCTGACAGCTCTTACCTTTTACTGCAAACACAAAACAGAGTGAAACCAGAAGTGGCTTGGGTCTCTAATCTCTAAACATCACTCCTTGGTGATGTATTTCTTCCAGCAACTTCATGCCATCAGCTAGATACCAAGTGTTGAAATGTTTGAGAGTGCGGGCCATCTCATTCAAGCCACCATACTTCTTACACATTTAGCTCCATCCCGCTTCCGCTCTCAGGGCCCTCCTTTCTTTATGTTCATTCGGAAAGTCCTTATTTCTTGAACTCCATTGTATGAAGTGGCTCAGTGAGCTAAGAGCCCAAGTGTCTTTTCTTTGCCTGCATGTGATAAGGTATTATTGCCTTGTCTGCTTGTGAGCTGTGTTACAGCAAGGGCTATCCTCTGCTTTAGCCCTTTATCCTCTGCTTTATCCTTTAGCCAAATGAGCCTTTAGGGGGCCTTTCCTCTGTTTCTGTTAGAAGATTTCCCAAATTAAAATTTGAAACTGTGTAATACCTGGAAAAGTTTTTGGATGTTGTTGGAAGGTTTGTTATATAACCTCCATTAATACAAGATTACAGTGTAATGGCCAGGATAGTTATTTCTTGGTTCAGATGAACTATTTTAGAGTCACTGTGTGGCCCTCTGACCAAAAATCATGGCCGGTTCCATCCAGAAAACATTCTTTTGGGACCCAGTTTTGTGAATTGGTTCAGGGAGATTGTAGCATTGTGGGCTACTCATAATAACATGTATTTAGTACCGTTTTCATCTATAGACAAGTGCATCTTTGATGAATAGAGCAAAGTTTTCTGTTTGGTTCTCTTCTTCCTTCAGTCATTGGATACATTTAATCATTTAAATAGTACAAGATGGCACTCTGATAAGAGATGGGATAATGTTGGAGAGATGGTTCAGTGGTGTTAAACGCACCTGCTCCTCTTGCAGAAGACCTGAGTTGGGCTTCCAGTACCCATGTTGGGTGGCTTACAACTGCCTGCTGATACCACCACCGATTTCTACTATCTAGCTCTATCTGTCCAGAAATTTGCTGTGTAGACCAGGCAGGCCTCAAATTCTGTCTGCCCGTGCTAGAATTAAAAGTATATACATTTAGTGGCCTCCTCTCACCTCAGTAACAGGAGTGCCCAGATGCACATGCACAAACTCTAAAATAACAAAAAGAGATAAGACCATTCATGTCTACACCCTGTCCATAGGGTTTCTGGTCTCCAGAGGAAGGGAAAATTATGGAAGAAGTGCCAGTAAGCTGTTCCTTCAAAGCCTTATTTCTTCAGGAAGAAGCTGAAAATCAAAAATGCTCATGGAATACATAGTAAAGCTAAAACGAAAAGGATCTGGAGTGTTTAACCTGGCTGGTAATTTGAGTAGACTATAAAGGTGAATAGGTACTATGCATTTAGTAGTGTCTATCTGCCTGCCTGCCTGCCTGCCTGCCTTCCTGTCTATGCACACACACACACACACACACACACACACACACACACACACACACATTCAGTCTTGATATTTTCTTTAACTGGCCTGGAACTCATGAGTTTCCTGCTTCTATTCTTTTTAGGAAGAATGCCTAATTTTTATGGATTTTGTGGTGTAGAAGCAGGTGTAGACACTTTGATGTTGATATATTAGTTAATTGTTGACCTATGAGTCCTTCTGGAAACCTGAGTTCTTCTGCACTGGAGTTATATTAAATCAGTTGGTGCTATTGGTCAGAGGTGGGAGGGTGTTGGGGTTGACAGAGCAGAGAGGGTTATATATAATCACAGTT